TAGTATCAATGTTTTTTAAGGGAAATGTAACCTCTACTTTCCAAATATTAATAAATTTAGAACCCCTAAATATAACCTGATAAGAACAGAGGAGCTTTACAACAGTGTTTATTTTATTTTAATGTTTTGTAAACAAATTGGAGGGAAGAATAATCCTAAAAGAGATTAATGGTGTTAGCAGTTCTCATACAGAGTTGAAATGGCAAAGCACCCTCCTTCTAATTCAAAGGAAGCAGAAAGTGAAACCAAATTGTATAGTTTTCAATAGCTCAATACGATGAAAAGAATAAACCAAGAGGAGCTTCTAAGATTATTTTTATAATTTATCAGAGGTTATTTTCAGTAGAACTTAAAACAAAATAAATATCATGTTGTTAGTAATCATTTGAAAGAAAATTTTTATCATTTTTAAAGAAAACCACTTCTTAAACAAAGTAGTACACTCCATTTTCATGTTCCTCCAACACCTGGGGGGAAATGTAATATTTTAAATGTCTTCTCCCAATTCCTTTAACTATTAAACAACCACACCAAGCTTTGATTCACTGATTATTTTTTCCTTTTTAAAAAGGAAAAATGATACCTTTAGAAGAAAGTGGAAGTGAACTTTGACTCAGAGTGACCTGAAGTGGGTAATAAACCTGAGAAATGATATTGTAATAGACAATACTTTACTTCAGTTTATAAGGAAGAAACAAACAAACCTAAACAGAAACATGGGCTTGATATATTTCCTCTGAATCAGTCCATAAGAGCAATTTACTCTCCTCTTAAATTACACTGCATGACAAAACTAAACTTTTGAATGCTGTTCAGTGTTCTAAATGATCTTCCAAAATATTTGCTAATTCTTTACTTATATAGATATCACAACAAGCTTGTTCTTATGTAATCATGAACTAAGGGATCAACCCTCTGCCCCACCTGCAAGTTTTCTAAGTTTGTATCCTAGATCAAATTTCTCCTTCCCAATTGCAGACTTCTGTTTCAATTTTCCACCTATTGAACAGAATCATCATCCACTGCTAAGAGAAAACTTATTTGAGCCTTTAAAATGATAGTGTCTTTTAGGAATCTGAGCCAACCACAATTCTGGCCATTGCTAGTATCTCTTCAATTTGATCACGAGGTTTTTTGTTTTTGTTTTTGTTTTTTGTTGTTGTTTTTTTAAGTTATATTTAATTCTTACATGGAAAAACATTTGTCACCTCTTCATATTTCAGAGACAAATTTAATATGTTTATCTTGGTTAAATTCTTTTAGAGGTAAGATGTATACAGTTCAGGAGAGGATGACACTTCATTTACAATCCTCAAACTATTTCTTCATGAGTCTGCACACTGGTTGGAAAGTTTATGTCTATTTGTGGCTGTGAGCCAAGTAGATAGGCAATGCAATCTGCCAAAGAAGCTGAATTTAATGCAGATCATGGTCCTCCCTGTCTTTCTCTTAGTAGTGAATCACCTAATGTCTCCCACCCCCCCCGCCCCCCACCAAGAAATGGGCATAAAGATTTTCAAGCAAAGTTTCAAATACATGTCATTTCATTTCTGATAGGCCCTCTGAGCTGATATAGATAATGGGAAGTTAAAAATATTTTCATTTTCCAAGATTAGAGATAATGTACAGGGAAGATTAGAAGTTATAATAACTAGCATATAGAAATTTCTCAATAAGATACCGATTATTATCATATTCAATAGGGCCCAAATGAATATTTTTACTCTTTAATGAAGGGTCGTTCTTATTGTAATCTTCTCTGCTACTGTACTTCTATAATACTTTGTGGGCTTTCTTGAAAATGGATTATAGTTAGTCTGTATTCCCCACCTGCTATGTTCTAAATGTTTGTGTCCCACCAAAATGTTGAAATCCTAACATTTCAGGAGGTCATGAGGGTGGAGCCCTCATGAATGGAATTAGGGTTCTTATAAAAGAGACTCCACAGAGATCCCTTGCCCTATACAAACATACCAGCTATGATTTATAAAGAGGGTCCTCACCAAAATGTGACCATGCTGGTACCTTGACCTTGGACTTCCAGCCTCCAGAACAGTAAGAGATAAATTTCTGTTGTTTATAAGCTATCTAGTCTCTGATATTTTGTTATAGCAGCTTGAAAGACTAAGACATAGCTAGGCTAAAAACTTTGAGGATTCAATTTTTGACCCAATTAGTTTTGCATTCTATACAGTGCAGAGTGTTCTATCTTGCTCACAATAGACATTTGTTAAATGCTGATTAAAATGAATTAAATGAAGAAGCCACAGAAGACAATCTTCAAAGTGAAATTTTGAATCTAAGTTGTGGATAAAAATAACAACTTAAGCATGTCAATACCAGATGCTACCTGATACTACTATTTAGATATTTTCACAAGATGTATACCTTCAGAAAGATTTATTATAGCACAGTGCAAAGATTTGTTTGTCATCTGTCTTCATGATTACATCATAAGTTCTTGGAGGCAGTATCTGCAGGGTCTATCACAGTGCCTAGCATATAATAACAACTTAATAAATGTTTAATGCATGAATAACTCAATGGAAGAATAAATGAATATACTCAAAGGATAGTTGATCTAAATGAAATTATCATGACTTAAAATTGCTAGCTTTCTGAGACAAGTAAAGGAGACAAAAAATGGAAGTCAATAGAATTTTCAATACAAACTAGAATCACAACAGTATCTTGTGTTGTGTAGAAACATTAAGATTTTTGGAAGGTTTATGGTATTAAGCATGTTTACCAGATGGTGTTTATTAGTTATTACTAGAAAGTAAAGCCCTTAAAAACCTTTAAGAGGCTATTAGTAGTGAAAAAATATCTCAAGTAACTTATTCAAAATAGTCCTAATATATGTAACTTTTGCTAATTTGTCTTAAGCTACTTAAGAAAACACTAAAAAGACAAAATATGGAATCAAAGCTCAAAAAATGTAAGGCTAGAATTGGGAGGAACTTCACTAACCAATAGTAGGTCAATTTTCTTGGCATTTTCAGGTTTCATCTCAAAGAGAACACCTAAAAAGGTAGGAAGACACTTTATGGTTTCCTTGTGTTTTCCCATGTGTCTATATCCAGAATATACACCAACCAATGAAAAAGATCATTCATGTGTTGATTTTTGAGGTATTTAAAAGTTATTCGCAGACCTCCCCCACTTTCCCAATTGCCATCTTTCTCACCATTTAGAAAAAGCGTCTTTCAGAAACAGCTGGGCAAGAGCTATGGAGGATGCCCCTGATTGCTTATTGGATACTGGCTGCTTTTTTCTTCAAAAGCAAAGCTCTGAAGACAGTGACAGAAATATTCTGGATACAGTGGATGGAGGGACTCTTAGGTTGCTGTCTATTATATCTTCCAGAGGTTCAGAGGACCAGGCAGGAAGTAATAGAGAAATCACCACCTCAGGAGAGTGAACGCCTACTAGAAACTGAAAGTCCTATTGTAATCTGGACACATCAACTTTCTTTCTAAGTGGGAATCTGAAAAGAGAATTTTGTTGTTATTGATTTATCAGAATGTGGCTTAGGGTAATTGAACCATCCTATACTCTGAGAATCAATGGATTCAGGAAGTACCCCATTCAATAATTTGTAATGGGAAAAAACCAAAGCAGAACACTAAATAACAACAAAAACCTACTGTGGAATACCACTTTGAAGACTCAAGGGAAGAGTATATTTCTAAAATTAATGTCTTACAAGACTCAAGAGAACATTCTGGAACTTGTTTACTATTCTCAATAAAATGCAAGAAGAATGAGCCTCCATTAGGCAGGACTAGCAGGGAGTAAAGAATACAATGAATTAAAACTAAATGTATAATAGGAAAATTCAGGCCCACATTTTACAAGGCTCTAAGGATACTGAACTATGGTGATGAAAACACAGAAGCATGAATCAGTGACATGGAGGATGGACTTGAGAAGCTCTCTTAAAAGTTCAAGAAGAGGGGACGCCTGGGTGGCTCAGTTGTTAAGCGTCTGCCTTTGGCTCAGGTCATGATCCCAGGGTCCTGGGATCGAGCCCCGCATCAGGCTCCCTGCTCGGTGGGAGGCTTGCTTCTTCCTCTCCCACTCCCCCTGCTTACGTTCCTGCTCTCGCTATCACTCTCTGTCAAATAAATAAATAAAATCTAAAAAAAAGTTCAAGAAGAGGGTAAAGAGATTAAAATTATGAAAGAGAACATGACAGTTAATAAGACCTAAAAGGAAGCTTTAATATGTGACTAATTTGTATTCCTAAAGAAGGAACTAAAACATAACACGAAGCAGTAAATAAAGATATGATAGACAAAAATTTGACTGACCTGAATATGCAGATTTGAGTGACATTACTAAATTCAGGACAAACATAAAAATGAAACCTACAAAACTCATATTGAAAAAATTTTGAATACCAGGGTAAATGATAATTTAAAAACTGTCAAGTACCTGTACTCTGAAAACTATAAAACACTGATGAAAGAAATTGAAGACAACAGAAACAAATGGAAAGATATTCCATGCTCATGGATTGGAAGAACAAATATTGTTAAAATGTCCATATGACCCAAAGCAATCTACACATTTAATGCAATCCTTATCAAAATAAACAACAGCATTTTTCACAGAACTCAAACAAATAATCATAAAATTTGTATGGAAGTAAAAAAGACACTGAATAGCCAAAACAATCTCAAAAAAGAAAAACAAAGCTGGAGGGATCACAATTTCAGATTCAAGTTATACTACAAAGCTGTAGTAATCAAAACAGTATGGTACTGGCACAAAAACAGACACATAAATCAATGGAATAAGATAGAAAGCCCAGAAACAAACCCATGCTTATATGGTCAATTAATCTCCAACGAAAGAGTCAAGAATATGCAATGGGAAAAAGTCTCTTTAACAAATGGTGTTGGAAAAACTGGATGGCTACCTGCAAAAGAATGAAACTGGACCACTTTCTTATACCATACACAAAAATAAACTCAAAATGGATTAAAGACCTAAATGTGACTCTCTTTGGCGGCACATATACTAAAATTGGAATGATACAGAGAAGATTATCATGGCCCCTGCACAAGGATGACACGCAAATTTGTGAAGCATATCATATAAGAAAAAAAATACCTAAATGTTAGACAACACAAAAATCCTAGAAGAGAGCACAGGCAGTAATTTCTTTGACATCGGCCATGGCAACATTTTTCTAGATTTCTCCTGAGGCAAAGGAAACAAAAGCAAAAATAAACTACTGTGGCTACATCAAAACAAAAAGCTTCTGCACAGCAAAGGAAACAACAAATTTAAGTGATAACCTACTGAACCTACTGAATGGGAGAAGATGAAATATCAGATAAAGGGTAGTATCCAAAATATATAAAGAATTTATATAAACTCAACACCCCAAAAACAAATAATCCAATTAAAAATAGGCAGAAGACATGAACAGATATTTCTCTAAGGAAGACATACAGGTGGTCAACAGACACATGAAACGATGCTCAACATCACTGATCATCAGGGAAATGTAAATCAAAACTACAGTGAGATATCACCTCACACTTGTCAGAACGGCTAAAAACAAAAACAAGAAACACGTGTTGGAGAGGATGTGGAGAAAAAGGAATCCTTGTGCACTGTTGGTGGGAATGCAAACTGGAGCAGCCACTGTGGAAAACAGAATGGAGGTTCCTTAAAAAGTTAAAAATAGAGCTACCCTCTGATCAGTAATTGCACTACTGGGTATTTACCCAAAGAATAACAAAACACTAATTCACAAGAATATATGCACCCCTATGTTTATGGCAGCATTATTTACAATAGCCAAATTATGGAAGCAGCCCGAGTGTCCACTGATAGATGAATGGATAAAGAAGATGTGGTGTATACATAATGAAATAAAATATTTTTCAGCCATAAAAAAGAATGAAATCTTGCCATTTGCACAGACGTGGATGGAGCTAGAGCTAAGCAAAACTGCGAAGGAAAATAAGTCAGAGAAAGACAGATACCTATGATTTCACTCATATGAGGAATTTAAGAAACAAAACAAATGAACAGAGGAAAAAAAGAGAGACAAACCAAGAAACAGACTCCTAACTATAGAGAACAAATTGATGGTTACCAGAAGGGAGTTGAGTGTATGTGTGGGGGAGGAATGGGTAAAATAGGTGACGGGGATTAAAGAATACCTTTATCATGATGAGCACTGAACAATGTATAGAACTGTCTGTCACTATATTGTACACCTGAAACTAATATAACATAAACTGGAATTAAAATTTAAAAAATTAATAAAATAAAAACAAACTGCCAAGTATCCAAATAAGTGGAAAGGGAAAAGAAAGGATTATTCACAAAGGAAAAATGTATCTATATAGCTTTAGATATTGCCCCTGCAGATATTATAAAACAGTGAAAATTATCTAAGAACTTTGAAAGGGTAACATGGTGATCTAAGGATTTCACATCTAAACAATTTGTATTTCTTGTGTAAAAGCCATTAAAGTACACTTTCAGATGCATAAGTAGTCAGAAAAAGAACATTTACATAATTTCACAAAGTATATGATCTGAAATGTTGCTCCAAATTAATCTCAAGGGAAGAGATTAAAAAAATCCAAAGATGGGAGGGTCATGGCACAAAAAGATGTTTAGGTCAGAATATCTGGAGTCCCTATTGATAATTCTTTGGTAGGATGATCCTATAAACCAGAGCTTCTTTCATTTGTTTCTCTTCAATTCTCACGCCTTCCCCGTCACCAGGAAACATATTTCTCATGCCTCATTTTTCGCCTCACAGTTTAGAAGGAATCTCTTGTTAGGTCCAATAACCTGGGAACTAACCGGCACGTGTGAGATGGCTAGAACATTATATTTACATGGCTGAGATGTTATGCTTGACAGAGTTTCTGTTTGCTCCACATAAGGCAATGTGCTGTCAATTTTCTTTTTTTTTTCTTTACTTTTTTCCTCATTAATGAGGCTTGTATTATGAGTAGATTTTTTTACAGATTAGGAAACTGGTGCTCAGGAAGTTCAGTTGACTCTCTCAAAGCCCCACACTTGTGGGAAATAAATCTGAATTTGTGTCTTCTGACTTCAGATCACATACTTACTTCATTACATGTCTAATTTATGACCTCCTCGTGGATTTTCGGAAAATGGTACTTTATATGTTTTCTTGGTTTTATTTCATCAAAAAAGAAATAATCTTTATGTCACTGAATATTTGTAATTGGTTTAACCTATATTGTTCAACTCTCAAGTGTATAATTATCCACCATAAAGGTATTTATATCTAAAAAATTACCTTTTAAATTTTCAGTTGGCATAATAGATTCCAAACCATTTTTTTTACATATATTGTCTTGATTACTCTGAATCAGATTATAGCCCAGTATTAAATTTTTGGTGAGAAATTTGAGAACACTTAGTTTTAGCTACAGTGAAACTTTTTAAAAAATCCATTTTGATATAGTTTCAAAATTATGAGAATTTACTAGAAGAGTATAAGGAACTCCTATATAACATATACCTAAATTTGCCAATTATTTATGTTGCCCCATTTACTTTATCATTCTCTTCTATTTGTCTCTATATTTCTGCATACATGCATATTTTCCTTCAAATATTTGGAAATACATTGAAGAAATTATGCCGTTTCATCCTTAAATAATTTAGTGTGTGTTCTGAGTCTAAAAATCAGAAAATTTAACACAATAAAATACTATTATCTATTCCACAGTCCATATATTATATACCATTATAAAGGGGGCACCCGGCTGGCTCAGTCAGTAGAGCATGAGACTCTTGATTTCAAGCCAAAGTCCTTCCCAATTTCCACCCTGACTCACAATGTGATCAAATGTTATCATGATAAAATCTTAAAAGTATAAAAATGTATTTGTTTTCCTTAAACTACAATTCTGAAGATGATCCAGAATGCCAACTCCATATTTTTTAATGGCTCTGTTCCTTAGTTTCACTAGAAGGGCAACTTTGATATTTCCTATTGGAGGATGAGTAAAGGTAGAATGTTTCTTCTTTGAACCAACTAGTACTTTCAGACTTTATTGGATTCTTTAACTTTTATGGAATTTAAAAAATTATAGGAACTCAAAAGGGACTTAGATAGAGTTTTTAATAAATATGTACCCCCAAAGTACAGCTGACAAAGATAATCCTGGGTAGAATAAAACAAAGAGGTCCACTTGACTTTTACCATTTTAAGATTCCTGAAAACACATTGTTTCTTGAACAATTATGAGCTAGTGTGCAAAAAAACAATTCTGTAGCCATGTAAATTTGAACAAAATTAATATGGCTTCTTCCTCAGAGCCTTTAATATATTAATCTTAAATCTATAGAATACAGAACATTTCTCCAATTTGCTTGACCACATAAGCCTTTTTGGAGGATTGCCTATTAAATAGTTTCATTGTCTGACTTTAGAAGTTGCATTAAATTCTGAAAAACAACATAATATAACACAGATCATATATTTTTAAGGCTTTAGTAAGAGCAAAATTATAAAGAAATATCATCTTTTATTTTCCTGTTCTTAGTTTGGGATTACATATAAATAAAGGACAACTAATACAATGAAGTCCTATAAAGAAAAAAATGATGAATAAAACTGTACATGAGCAATTCAAATGACTAATGAAGAACCATACAAACTATTACTAATGAAGAAATTGATGATTAACCTGATGGAATAAAGTGTATTCTGAGGCAAAAAGTACATGTATTGAGACTTTTGCTCCTCAAGATCATTCTACTCACTTCTCTTCATTAGAATATAGAGGCTAATGTTAACTTTTAAAAATGTTGTTTATTAAAAGCTCTAAGTCCCTTCTGAGTTCCTATAATTTTTAAAATTCCATAAAGGTTAAAAAATCCAGTAAGTCTGAAAGTACTAGTTCGTTCAAAGAAGAAACATTCTATCTTTATTTCTCCGCCAATAAGAAATATTAGAGTTGTCCTTTTAGTGAAACTAAGGAGCATAGCCATTAAAAAATAGGGAGTTGGAACTCTGGATTATCTTCAGAATTGTAGTTTAAGTAAAACAAACACATTTTTATACTTTTAAGATTTTATCATGATAACATTTGATCACCTTGTGAGTCAGGGTGGAAACTGGAAGCAACTTTGGCTTGACTGTGCTCAGCTGGGTGGTTTTCTTTTCTTTTTTCTTTTTTAAATTTTATTGAGGAATAACTGACAAGCATAACTGTATATATTTAAAGTGTACAATGTGATGATTCGATGAACATCTATATTGTAGAATGGTTATCAAGCTCAAGATAATTAACATGCCCATCACTTCAGGTAGTTAACATAGTGAACTCTTTTTTTTTTTTTTTCTTTTTGTGATAAAATGCTTAAGATCTATCATGTAGCTGTATTTAATTAGGAATTTGCTAGGGCTGGCACATCCAAGATGGCTCCTCATCTTCCAGGGTCTTTCCTCCATCAGTCTCCCCTCTAGTTTGGGTTTTATCACACTTCTGATTGTGTCACACTTGTCACTGGCTTATTAGCTAAACCAAATCACATGGCCAAGCCTAGAGTGGTAAAGGACTATACAAGCATGTGCACGTTATGAGCACATGCTTTAAGGACCACCAGTAAAATAGCCTGCCACAAGGGGAAGAATTTAGATTTTTTCTGTCTGTGTTGGCCAATCATTTGCATCTGATCATCCATCCTTAAATACTGCTTCTTTAGGTAAGGACAGGAATAAAAAATGATTATGTATTTATAAAAAAGGTTGGAATTATTTTGGGGCACATATACATTTTGTAGCTAAAAAAATTAACGACTGTAATTGGGATCACACATTATTTGAATAGCCGAGATTACACCTGAGAGTTGAACTGTTTCTAATGTATTGACTACTAAAATTAATATCATTGCTAACATCACAGTAGAGTAAAATAGGACTTTTGGGCAAGGAAGTAGGATATACAGAGTTGCCATTGAGCTGCCTTTTGGGAAGTCACTTAAACTTTCTAGGCTTTGGTTCTTTATATATTAAAATTAATATCTTGAACTAAATTGCAGCTTCACACTCTCCGAGCTCTAAAATTTGTTATATCCTTAAAAATTCTTT